AGGGAGGGAGGGAGGGAGGGAGGGAGGGAGGGAGGGAGGGAGGGAGGAGTCAAGAAAGCAGGCTGAGGAAGCTGAACAAGTTCTAAGGAGCAAGCCAAAAAGCAATGTTCCTCCACAGCTTCTGTTTCAGGTCCTAGCTCCAGGTTCCTGCTTTGGGTTCCCAAAGCGCTGGTGCCACTCATTCTTTAAGCTCTTTACTTTTTTTACTCATTATCCAATCCATCCTAAACTTGCTTTCATCCCCACACCAATAAAGTCACTCTCAGGAAACCTACTGTGCAGTGAAGAGTTAACCCATCAGACCTGGAATGTAGGATGTCTGTGTCCTGCATGTTCCAAATACAGGAGAGGGAGTACAGCAACCTCCAAGCCCTTGAACTAGTTACCTGAAGAGACCATTTGTACACCTGAGGTACTGAGGTGCACCAGAGCTTAAGCTAACAATATGATTCCTAATGAACACCTGTTCCATTGCTCTGGGGCCCTCAGACGCATGTACCAGTTTACCTCTCAGGATGAGAAATCTGAAGAAAAAATCAGTCACATGAGCACACAATTCCTAAATAACTAACCCCAATAAAAACCATGGCCTGAAATGTGCAGGAAAGCGCTTCTGGTAGGTATCATCACATGTCACAGTGGGAAGGAAGGAAGGAAGGAAGGAAGGAAGGAAGGAAGGAAGGAAGGAAGGAAGGAAGGAAGGAAGGAAGCTAGGAGGTAACTGGAAGAGGGCACCCAGAGGCCTGCACCAGCCTCCTCAATGATTTCCCCTAGTTTAAACTGTATGCATCTGCTATAATAAACAGTAACTGGGAACAGAGCAATTCCTGAGTTCTGTAAGAACATTTAGCAAATCGTGGAACATGAGGACAGTCTTAAGGGTCATCTACAGTCACCAATAACAACCACTGGCTAAATCCAACATCACTTTTTCTACCCTGCACAAAGGACTTCTCACTTCTGAAATATTTTGCCCCACTGTAAATGAATATAACACACTCTCTTGGCTGGTCCTTCTCAGGCTCCTTTGCTCCTTTCTCCTAAGCTGCTTGCAATATTAACAAACATCACAAGTTGCAGTATTAATGAACTCCTAATTGTCACAGGTTGGCAGGTAGGCAATCATGTATGTCCTGGAACTAAGGAATAATTCCTGCCTTAGCCCCAGAATTTCAGTCCCTTTGAATGCCTGATATTTTTCTTTAGCTCTTATGTCAGCTACTTGGTTCTAAGTGGATTCCCTCTTGCCCTTTGTCCAGTTTTTCTACAGTATCTGCTTCTGTGTTGAGAATGTAGTCACTCAACATCTTGTGTGATCCTACACCTATATACTTTTGCTATATACTAATTGCCATGCTGAGAAGGGAGATGCATATGACGATCTGTACTCTCAAAATGCTTTCAGTGCATCACAGGAGATGAGGTATAGCAACAGTGGCCTGCAACAGAGCTCTCAACTTCAGAACCTGGAACCACCAGCCAACAGAACAGCAGCACAGTTTTCAACCTACCTCCGCACTTCATCTGTTAGGCAGACAATGTGCTCCTGCATCCTGCGCAGCCGGATTTCATATCGTACCTCTTTGGCTTGTGGATTGTAGTTCCTGGTATAAAAGCCTCGCCAACAGGCCTGAAGCTTAGTAGCAGCTGCATTCAGTTTCTGAATGGTGACATTATCCTGTCCCAAAGCAACAGATCTCTGGGTCAAAATCCTGGAGGGAAATTTCTCTGAAGTGGTAGGACACATGACTTCTTCACTGTTCAGTTCTCTGTGGGACACACTGTGTCCAACAGACTCAGGAAGAGATATAAGACTCTGGTTATCCTCCTTCAAGATAGCGTTGATGATCACTGACTTGGGACAAGGTAACAGCCCAGCTTCCTCATTTACTTCTGTACTGATCTTATGTTTCGGCATTCGAACAGAACTCTCATTTGCATCCCATAAAGACTTTTCCTTGTCTTTATCCTGGTTTTCCAGCCCTTTTGTGAATTCATCTGTACCTTCATCATCATCATCCTCTAGGCCCAAGTTAATGCCCTGTAGCCTCAGCTCAACAGTGGGAGACACTGGAGACAGTCCCGATGCGACTGGCATAAAAGTGGACTCTGAAGACAGCAGACTACAGTTTAGCTTGTCCTCGTCGGTCTGTATATCTTCCAGGTGAAGGTCATTCCGAGAATATCTTGTAGCATGTGCAGTGGCTGCGAAGTTATTCTTAACAGCATATAACTGATCATCATTACTGCTGATCCCAACCCAAGAATTGATTTGGAGGACAGGTTCTAGAAGATCCAAGGGAGTATCATTTAAATCACCAAGATTTGAAGAGCCTTCTTAATTGTTTACCTATAACAGTTTATACACTGAGCCATCTCCCTAACCCCTTAGTTGTAGACATTTAATCCCTAAAATATAGTAAAGTACAATAAAAAATAGCTTCCTCAGACATGACTAAAATGTAAAACCAAACATTTTTAAGAAAATTAATTTGTTGCAGGAGAGATGGCTCGGTAGTTAAGAGGACTGGTTGTTCTTACAGAGGACCTGGGTTCAATTCCCAGCACCCACATGGAGGCTCACAACTGACTATAACTCCAGTTCTAGGGAATCTGATTCCCTTTTCTGGCCTCAGCAGAAGAGATGTTTATACACAAGGACATACAAAATGCAGACAAAATGCACATATACATAAAGGAGTTAAAAGAATTTTTTTAAGTTAAAAAAAATGATTATAGATTAAAGGGTGAGAAGGGGCATGCCTTTATCCCCAGCACTTTGGAGACAGAAGCACTGGATCTCTGAATTTGAGGCCAGCCTAGTCTACAGAGCAAGTTCCAGGACAGCCAGGGCTACACAAAGAAACCCAGTCTTGAAAAACCAAGAGAGAGAGAGAGAGAGAGTAAGAGAGAAGAAGAGGGAGAGGGAGGAGAGGGAGGGAAGAAGAGAGGGAGGGAAGGAGGGGGGGGAGAGAGAGAGAGAGAGAGAGAGAGAGAGAGAGAGAGAGAGAGAACAATAACAGGAAAATGATTTATTACAGTAGGAGTGGTGGCAGCTTATGCCTACAATCCCAGCACTTAGGAGGCTGAGGCAAGACAACTTTCCTGAAGTCAAGGCCAGCATTACTATGTCTGTATAAAGAAAACTGTCCAAAGTGTTTTTTTTTTTCCTTTTTCTTTCTTTTTTTAATGTGTGTGTATACACATGCGTGCATTCCCAGAAGAGGGTATCAAATTCTTTATAACTAGAGTTAGCTGGCTGTGAGCCACTTGAGGTGGGTCCTGAACTTTGGTCCTCTGGAAGACCAGGAGGCACTCTTATTTTTTTTTGTTTTTGTTTTTTGTTTTTCGAGACAGGGTTTCTCTGTGTAGCCCTGGCTGTCCTGGAACTCACTCTGTAGACCAGGCTGGCCTCGAACTCAGAAATCCACCTGCCTCTGCCTCCCAAGTGCTGGGATTAAAGGTGTGCGCCACCACTGCCGGCTATTTTTTTTTTTAATTACAAATTTTTATTGATTCTTCATGAATTTGACATCATGCACCCCAATCCCACTCAGCTCCCCATCTCTTCAATCTACCCTCCATACTTGTAACCTTCCTCCTAAAATAAAAAATCAAATAATTAAAATAAAGAAAAACAAAAACATCTCCGTGTGTCTCAGCATGTCACACAGTATAATCTTTTGTCCAAATAGCTTTGCTTGCAAATCTTCATTGCAATGAGGCATTGTCAAGGCCTCTGGCTTCTGCCATATGATCAACACTGGATCCTTCCTGACTCCTCATTGTTGTCCTGTGCCATGGACATCACTAAGCTTTGGATCTGCAGGACCAGCCCCTTCGTGCACTCGAGCAGTTGATAGATGGAGTGGATGCTGGAGTGGGCCAACTCAGAGCCCTGGCTCTGGCCCTGGGTAGAAGCTGAGTTGCTCAGCCTACAGCTCTCCTGCACACACATTAGCAGGACCAGTTCTCCCACTTTGCCCAGGCGAGGAGTGCCATCAGCTCTCCCACTCCCATGCCCTGAGGCAGGCTCTCCCATACCCACATCTCCAAGACCAGCTCTGCTGTGCTGCCCAGTAGGGACTCTTAACTACTGAGTCCTATCGCCAGTCCTACAAGAACTAGTTTTAAAACTTAGAGCTATGAGGCCGGGCTTATGATTCAAGCATAGAACACTGGTCTAACATGCCTAAGGTCCTAGGTTCAATCCCCAGTAACCTATACACAAACACAAATTAGGAATATGGGGACCAGCAAGATGGCTCAATGGTTCAAGGTACTTGCTGCACAAGCCTGGAGACCTGAGTTCAATCACCGAAGCCCACATAAAGGTACAAAAAGAAAACTATGCCATTGACATATCCTCCACATATACTTCATGACACATGTACCTACCTACACACCACATACACGATAATAATTTTTTTTAATTTAATTATAGTGGGGCTGGAGAGATGGCTCAATGGTTAAGAGCACTCGCTCCTCTTCCAGAGGTCCTGAGTTCAATTCCCAGCACTCACATGGTGGCTCGCAGTTGTCTATAATGATTTGATGCCATCTTCTGCTGTGCAGACATAGATGTAGATAAAATATTCACATACATAAATTACATGAATAAATCTTTTAAAAATTTAATTAGAAATATACTATCCATGTACATGCATAACTGTATGCACATATATGAAATATGTATTCATATATAAAATATACATATATGTATTTACACATACATATATGTGTTATCTACAAATCAGTATCAATGATCACTAAAGTTAAAGTCATAGAATATTACAAAAATACATCCTTTTCACCTAGGCTTAGTGGCACATGTCTGTTATTTCTCAGCATTCAAGAGGAAGAGAGGGGCTGGGGAGATGGTTCAGCGGTTAAGAGCACTTGCTGCTCTTGCAGAGTGTCCAGGGTTCAGGTCCCAGTACCTACATGATGGCTCACAACTGTCTGTGACTACAGTTCCAAGGGATCTGATGCCCTCTTCTGACTCCTGTATACATGTGATACACATACAAACACTCACACACATACATAAAGTAAATATTGATACATATACAAACACTCATATACATACATAAAGTAAATATTAAAAAGGAAGAAAGAAAAGAAAGAAGAGAGAGAGAGAGAGAGAGAGAGAGAGAGAGAGAGAGAAATAAAATAAAATCAGGAGGATTTGAAGCAAGTCTGAGACCAGGCTGAAGCTACACGGTGAGTTTCAGACCAGTCACAGCTACACAGAGAGACCTTGCTGGAAACAAACTAATGTTTTATGACCCAGCAAGTCAAATAAATGAATTGAAGAAACATAGTGGAGCAAGCTGTTCTTGAGCACTGGGTATAAATGACCTCCTTACCGCGTTCCTGGAAATCTTGCACAGGGCTTGAACACTCAGGCGTACGGGGCACCCTTGTTTCAACAGCAGCAAGAGGAGACAACTCTTCATTTTGGCTCTGGTTCATCAGCTGCCTCTGGTGAAACCTAAAAACCAATAATACCGCTGCCTTCCAGCACAAAGTTTTCTCCTGCTACTAAGTTAATGATGGTAACAGAAACTTAACGAGTTTACAAGGGTATCTTTAGCCGTTGGCGAACAATAGTCTCCTTTCAACAGCTTGTGTAAAGAAGGTTAAAATTTTTTTTTAATTGTTAGACAAAAATGGGGATGGCAAAACATGTCTATAAACCCAGCACAGTGAAGTTGCTGGCAGCAGACTCAGCAGTTCAAAGTCACCTTCTCTACGTAATGAGTTGGAGGCCAATCTAGTTTAATGAAAAGACTCTATCTTAATCTATACATTTAATTTTTCACCCACTTTATATGAACATAATTTCACAAGCAAAAGCATTGAAACATGGGATCTCCAACAAGGGAAGTGATTACTAAACAGTTCTGGCCATGATTGTTAATATTAGCATTAATATCCTATAGGAGGCACCTACATTAAAAGGCCAAGTACTTTTCTTCAGGTGTTAAGACTCAAACCTAGGATGTCTTACTCCCTTACCCCCTCACCTGCAGGTTCCCTCTGCCCCTTGCCCCTCCCCCCTCCCCATCCCCCTCTCTCCACGTGGTCATGGCTGGCCTCCTCCACCTCTCTCTCTCTCTCTCTCTCTCTCTCTCTCTCTCTCTCTCTCTCTCTCTCTCTCTCTCTCTCCCCCCTTCCCTCTCTTCCCCCTCCTTCCCTCTCTCCTTCCCTCCCCCCC